TTTAAAGACCTATACAATTTTAATATTTAGCAATTGTCATAGGCATTACTACTTTTAGTCAATCTTACTAGACTGACTATAAAGCAAATGTACATTTATGGTATTAGCATTCTATTCTGCCTGGAAACAGACTTTAAAATGTTTTTAGAAAGGGCTGTGTAATTAGGGCCTCAGGCACACACGCCGTATCAAAATTCATTAGGATGTGTTGGAATGGTTGGATCAGCGTAGAATTACAGAAAGCAGCAAGTCGGCGAGATCTGTTTCGTCTGCATTCTTCCCTCATTGCACAAACCCTGGCACTTGGTCAATTTCTCCAAGCCTCCCCAGTCTCATTTCTCTCTTACCAAAAGTGGTGCAAAGGGAAGTAAGAACTGAGCAGCGAGTCTAAAGCATGATAAAGCCGTGATAAAGCTGCCTTGGAGAGAGAAAGCAAATCACAAGGGTTAGGATAATGGATTGGTTTCCCCACACCCCAAATTCCTCTGCAGGAAAGGAATGAAGCGGGCTTTCCAAAAAAGTACATCTGGAACCTTCTCCTGCTCTGGACTCTTCACGTTGGAGGAGGAGATGATTATATTCCATACCGTGAAAAATTGATCAGATAATGGTTAGTGTTTTGGAGGAGGGATAAGCCTGCTCCAAAGCTCATCACGGTGGTTGTTGGAGTGTGTTGTTGTTTTTTAACCTTCGTAGAATAAAAAACACAAAGATCAAAATTAAAACTCACAGAGACCCAGCTGCAAGGATGCAGGCTGTTTAAAAGGGGTGCCAGACAGATCCAATGAATGCATCAGTGCTGGATGCTTTGAACGGAATCCTCATTTTAAGACTGGCCGCGTTGGTGATTTCATGCCTGCCCCGCCTCCTCCAATTTCATCTCCAGGCAGAAAATAAACATGTAATCCCAACCAACCAAAGCAGATCATGCATTTTTAACCTCATGGCATGACAGGGAAAGAAAAGGAAGCCAGTGAGGAATTGCCCCTGTTCATAAACAGCCAACCGATTCAACAGACGGGTTTTGTAGGTGGAAAAAATTGATTGAGATAAAGAAGGAAGCCCCAAACCGCAGACTTCCCCCTTCTTCTCCGCCCCCCTCAGCTGCAGGCTGCAGGCTGCCAGATAAATAGGGAACAAAGGTTCCTGCTGAGACCCCTGCCAATATCCATTAGTCCCTGTGGAGGCTTTATTATCTGGGGAACAGTCACAGTGCAACATGAATCAGCAACCTTGGAAAAAAAACCCAAACCACATAATCATGTGGAAAACACAAGAGGCGTAAAAAAAAAAAAATTCTAAGATTCAAGATCAGGTTTTGCAAGAGCCCTAGTTCCTTTCCTTTATTCTACAAAATTGTCACCTGAGAAATGCTGCTTGAGGAAAACAAAAAATATACACACATACACATTTTAAATGGGAAGTCTTAAGAGTGTCGTTTTATGCACCGCAAAATGTTTGTGTATTTTGTTCTACACGTAGCGGTTGACTTACAAACAGTTTGTTTCGTGGGCATTCCAAAGTTACCACATCACTGAAAAACAGTGACTTATGGCCATTTTTCTCACTTATGACCATTGCAGCATCCCCATGGTCACGTGATAAAAAAAATTTTCAGACGTTTGGGAACTGATTCATATTTATGACGGTTGCAGTAACCCAGAGTCATGCAAACATTTTTTGCGACTTTTTGACAAGTGAAGACAACGGGGAAGCCAGATTCACCTAACAACCATGTTACTAACTTAACAACTGCTGGCAATTAAAGGTTGTAAAATGGGGAAAACTCACTTAACAAATGTCTCACTTAGCAATAGAAATTTTGGGCTCAATTATGGTCATACGTTGAGGACTTCCTGTATTTGTTATGTGAATGGGTGTGATGACCCAGGGTGGGATACAAAACAGTCACAAAAAACAGGTGAAGCCCCTTTTATTCCCTCAGTTTGCTTCCAAGCTCTGAGTATCTTTGACAGAAGACAAAAAAACTCCTCCAGTTACATGAAGAAGGAAAAAAGCAACACAAACCAGGCAAGATAAGGGCTGGAGGACGTCCACAGATAACAGAACACACACTGGGAAACACACCAAACTCAGAGAGGAACCATAAACTAGAGATATTTCCACAATACGCAGGTCCAAACTCTTATTCAGTTGTGACACCTGCAGCCCATGAAGAGGATCAAGGCTCTCTCCTCCCTTGTAGACCACATCTCCCCCTTATCCTCTCCTCCCTGCGTGCCCTAGGATGGAGAGGGGATGGGCCTGGGCCCTCCCCTGACTGCTCAGCCAGCCTCTGCCCTTCCCTAGCCTCCTCCACAACCTCCATGGAGCCACCCTTCCGCTCCCTGTCAACTATTCTTCCTCTCCCTCAGAGTCAGTCTCCACCAGGGGCATGACAATGGGGATCACTCACCATTGTTTAGAATGCATATCTTTAAAAAACAAACAATGCAAAATGAACTTTAAATATTCCTATTTATTTTCTATTGCTTCCTTCCCCATTGGGGTATAGCTCACGAATTATGACATCAGCCAAAGAGAGTAAAGTAAGAAATTTACAAAGGTAGCCCTCGTCTTATGACCTCGATTGGGATTGCAATCTTAGTCTTTGAGTGAAGCAGTCCCTAAGCAAGATGCCTACAAGACTGCTTCACGCAATGACGGCTATCCTAGTTATGGATGTTAAGCAACAGTGCTGATAGTTAAGTGGGAAGGGAAAAAGAAAGGGAACTTTTAGAGCCGTGGTGGTGCAGTGGTTAGGATGCAGTGTTGCAGGCTAACTCTGTCCCACAGCCAAGAGTTTGATCCTGACTGGCTCAAGGTTGACTCAGCCTTCCATCCTTCTGAGGTCGGTAAAATGAGGATCTAGATTGTTGGGGTCAATATGCTCACTCTATAAACTGCATAGAGAGGGCTGTCAAGCACTTGGGAACTGGTATACAAGTCTAAGTGCTAATGCTATTGCTAACTCCCATGGCAGTTTGCAGAAATGGAGTTTGGGCCTTCAGGATCCAAGCTTCCTTTTTGCAGCGAAGCACATGAGTTTCTCTCCCCTTCTGTGATGGGCTGGAGAAATGAACCACAATCACAAAGGTCTGAGCTGGATTTCTACCCTCCCCCCACCAGTGCCCAGACTGGAAGGAAAATCCTTTGGTAGGCAGCAGCCTGACAGTCTTCCCTGCCAGTTTTCTCACTGTCTTTCTGGAGAAGCTGCCAAATCAATTTGCAAATGGTGATCTCATAATCACAACATCCCCACGGACACATTATCAACATTTGGGCACTTGATAGCCAGCGAGTTTTTAATCAGAATTTACAACTTTACAGTTTACAATATGAGATTACACCCCAGGGTGATCTAATCTCCATTTGCGATCTTTCTGGCCAGTTTCTGATAAGCAAAGTCAATGGGGCAAGCAGGATGTGGTTAGTGACCTGATTCACTTAACCATGGAAACTAAGATTTAAACGTGGACACAATTTGCCTAACAATTAATTGCCTTGCTTAACAACTGAAATTCTACTTCCCAACTATGGCTGCAATTTAAGGATTATTTATTATCTGTAGAAAGCTACTCTCCAAATTACTGAAAGAAAGAACCAGACCTTGAGGAAATCTCCTGAGCAGTGTTTGTCAACCTTGGCAACTTTAAGCAATGTGGACTTCAGAATTCCTACTCCTGAAGCTGACAGATAAAAGTTTCAGGGATTCTTAAAGGTCTACTCTAGATTTGAAAACTATCATACTTTCTTTGCCCTATAACAGGAATCTCCAACCTTGACAACTTTTAAGACTTATGGACTTCAGTTTCCAGAATTTTGGGAGTTGAACTCTACAAGTCTTAAAGTTGTCAAGGTCTGAGATCCCTACCCTAGAAGAATGGCATTATCCATTGATATAGTGACAGGAACAATGTTCTTGAGATCTTTTTTTTTTCTTTCTTAGCCTTCTGAAGAAATGTGTTTGTATGTATAATACAATTTATTTCAGGGAAGCTTGTCCAAATCTGCCGGAAAGATCGGCAAGTCAATATGGGATTCGGCTGCTGGTTTTGGAAGACTGAAATACCAACTATGAAGCTGCTGAGTTGAGAACTTGGAAATCTAACCTATTAAAATACTGTGCAGCTGTGGCGGCAGCTGAAAACTAAGGACTTCCAACATTGGTGGCATCATACGGCAGTTTCCTCAGTACTGTCCATAAACCATTCAGATGATTCAGCCTTTCACAGGTGATTCAACAGGCAGCAACAGGAAAGTTAGATCATGACTGGAGAACATCAGCAGCTCATATTACTGTGTTTCTCCAAAAATACGACCTACTCAGAAAGTATGTCCTAGCTTGATTTTTACACATGAGCCCAATATAAGCCCTATGCCTATAGTTAGGCCTATCCCCCAAATGAATCCTAATTAAGATTCCACCCACTCCAGGATGAACAGGTAAAAATTAAGCTAGGGTGGGGATGGGGGTGGTGGAACCGCCCTACGACTTACCTTTGGATAATTGCAGCCAGGCCCCGCACATCTCCGTTTCTTTTGCTGAAGCTGGAAAAGCTTTCCCGGAGCCTCTGTAGCTGATAACAGAGCTCTGTATCAGTCCGGAGCTCTGTTATTGGCTGCAGAGGCCTTCAGGAAAGCCTTGTTCGCCTTGCCAAATGAAGAAGTCCCTGAAGGTCCCTGATAGCGAAAAAGAGGCTGGGGGCAATGCATGCAAGTGAGGTGAGTCAGTGGACCACCAACCCTCCCCCGAAAATAAGACCTGGTGCCTTTTTTGGTGGAAAAAAATATATAACATGGGGTCTTATTTTCAGGGAAACACAGGTAATATGTAAATCCAACAATTATTGATTCTGATTCTAAAATCTGTTTTCTTGTAACTGATCCTAGCCATTCGTTTCTCATCAGGAACATAAGCTGAGCCACTGACACAAATACAACATCTCAAGGAAGTACTTTGAATATTGGACTAAGGAAGAGAAATGGAAACAACAAACCTCAATTTTGTCTGTTTTGGCATCTCCCCAGTATATCATGTTTTCAATGTAATCCAGTGCCAATCCATTAGGCCAACCAAGTGAGGTATTTACCAGTACAACTCGGTCAGATCCATCTAAGGCAGCCCTCTCAATCTTTGGAATCTCTCCCCAGTCGGTCCAGTACATGTAGCTAAAAGGAAAAGGGTAAGATGGAATAAAACAGGGGCTGGAAAAACCGTGCAGTAGTAGTATTCACGAGAGACTAAACTGTGCTTACTTTGGCACGTGGCCTGTACTTTCTGCAGTTGAAATTATTTTGTCTTAAACATATCTGCAAAACTGTCTGGTTGAATTCCCGTGACAATCTGCGGTATAATTCTCATAAATGTACATGGAATATATGCCGTTTCCCCCCGCTTTTGTTCAATTCTGAACGATTCTGAGAAACTGCCTGGACAAGTCTCTGCAGTTTTCTTGGCGAGGTTGTTCAGAAGTGGTTTGCCATTGCCTCCTTCCTAGGCCTGAGAGAGACTGACTGGCCCAAGGTCAGCCAGCTGGTCTCATGCCCAAGGTGGGACTAGAACTTACAGTCTCCTGGTTCCTAGCCACTACACCAAGCTGGGTCTTGTCCAACATTAGATCAGCATCTCGATTTGCTAGAAAAAAAAATTCCCTAAGGACCATCATTTTTTTTCTCCCCTTTTCTTAAAAGTGTAAGGGGGTGATTACAAAGACATCATAAAAGCTAATGTTTTAAATACGTGAATCCACACTACATTCAAGTTGCACATCTGTGACAGAGCTAAAATGTTTCATGGGCTAAAAAAAAAAAAAAAAAAGACTAACGCAAATGGAAAGCAACCTAAAACTCCCTCAGTTCACTATTATAAGAAAGGGGGAAAAGATCAGTGTTCAAACAGGTTCACAATAGCTTACAAAAGGCAACTCAGAAAATGTGTCATGACGCACTGCGGGGATCCCTTGGGCAACAATGCAGAAGATGAAGCAGGTGGGCTGCCCTTTTTTGATTTTGTTATGGTTTCAACCAATCTACTGCAGCCTGGTCAATACCCTAGGAGATCCACGTCGAAATTTCAGGCGCTTTTAAAGGGGGCCTTATATTCCAGGCTAATCTTCTGTTCAACATCTACATTTCTCATCAGTTTCACACTGTAAATCAAATCTCATTTTGGAGGAAGAGAGCAGATAAACTGGACAGGTTCGTTGGAATTATGGCGACTCTAAAACAAGCTAGAAAGCTTTTATTGGTCCCAAATAATCTTAACTTAGGTACTCTAAAACTGAGAACGGTCAACAGAAATTATTTATGGTAAGGAAATAAAGGAAGATTCGTATTTCTGAATCAGGGAAAGCATCTTGAAATGAACATTAGATTTGACTTGAAGAGTATGGTAATTCTTAATTTTTTAAAACCCGCATAATATAAAAAGGGGGGGCCCTTACCCAATCATAGGATCCAAAACTATAGCTCTCGGCTCTTCTAGGTTTTCTGAGATCAAGATCTTCCTCATAGTCCCATTAAGCCTTGTGATTTCGATGCGGTCTGTCCCCGTATCCGTCCAGTAAAGATTTCGGGCCACCCAATCCACAGCAATGCCATCCGGGTGTGCAATTTGTGCCTGTACAACAAACTGGCTAGCCGACCCATCGAGGAACGAACGTCTGATGGCTCTCACTTCATCATCTGTCCAATAAATGTACCCTTCCACAGGGTCATAGTCAATGGCAATGGCGTGACGAATGTCTTCCAACTGCAGCACAATATCCGTGAAATCTGGAGTGTCCAAGGAGATCCGCCTCAAATCCGTCCTTCGGGCCAGCAGTAGCAACTCCATGGCTCCTGTATAGATAAATCCCAACAAATTAGAATTAAAAGTCACTTCTGCAGCCGCCTACCTCTTTGTTGAAAACGTACAGGAATGTCATGGTTATGCAGATCTCAGTGACATCACGGGTAGCCAATGGATGATCCAATGTCAGTCCATGAGTCCAGCAGTGGGGAAATGTTAGCAAAGGAAGAAATGAAGCCATTAACCTTTGCAAAGTGGTGGAAGAAAAAGCTCAACATTTCCTACGAATGAAGGCAAATTGAATTGTTGAAGGTAGCCAGGGAAGTGATGGAAGCCTGGGAAATGGCCCTCTTGTTAGTTAACAGGAGTGCTGATTTATCACAAGTTTCTCAAGTACTTAGGAGCCCAGGACTGGCAGCCCTAGGAAACGACAGCCAACAGCCAACCATCAGTACACCAAACTATCAATAGGAAGCCCCGCCCAACCACATAAATACAACATACAGAATAGCTCACAGCACACATTTCAGTACAGAGAAGTTCCCTGACGATGGGCTCCAGCATGAGTCCAAAAGCTCGGAAAACTAAACCTCTAGTCCCGGTGACTGACCTAGCCTGGTTCCTCACTATTTCCTCCTTGCGGCCACCTCAAGACTCTGGACTCCCCTTGCCATTAACCGCTTAAGAACAGCCTTCTGAACTCATCACTTTGATCAGCTGAGAAATGGGAAGAAATGCCTGGCAGATGTTCCGGCACAGCCATTTCTCAAACTGATCAACTGGCTGGTAGAAGCAGATGCCTGGGGTCCCAAGGCTGAGGGCACTGGGGTGCCAACAATGTGAAGCAAACATTCCTAGGAGGAAAGGGGCGGCGAGCCATTTCTCCCTCTCCCATCCTGCAGGCCCCCTCAGAACAACTACTTTTTCTGTGATGGAATATCAGCAATTTGAAACTGCAAGTCGCTTGGGAGGGGGGAGCTTTCCCTCTGCTTCCTCCCAGATATATCATCAGAGTTTGTGCTTGCTCTGCTGTGCAGCGACCCTGATCAAGGCAGGCAATAAATCTGTGTGAACAGCAACACGGGGAATTCACAGATGTGGGCCCCCCCAGACCTTCTGATCGCATCAGCTTTCAACTGAAAATGCTGATCATCCCTGATTGATTGATTTAACAATCGCAGCGATTCACTTAACAACCAGCGGCAAGAAAGGTTGTAAAATTGGGCAAAACTCACTGAACAACTGTCTTGCTTAGTAATATATATTTGGGGCTCAATTGTGGTCGTAAGCCGAGGACTACCTATCTGTATTTTTGTTTAGCAGTGGAAGAAATCATATACAGATTATGCCAAGGATGTGCATAACATTCCGGCTGTTCCTTCAAAAGCGAAACCGACTGATTCTTCACTTAAGTTTGTATCAAAAAAAAAGACCCCCCCCCCCCAAATGAATGGCATGACCAATATCAGGGAGTGTTTTACACACCACAAACACCTCTAAAACAACTCTGTAAGCCACCATAAGATCATCTTAGCAGCAGCCCTTTTCCCCCCTTCTGTCTCTTACCTTGGCTGGCTCTTGTTCTCTAGGATTATTTTGGCTCTAAGTAGTAGCAAACGGAACTTCTGGTCCATATTTATGCTTAAGGCTTGTTTTGAAAGCAGGCAGCAACTGAACTTAAGTGGCCTGATGGTGCTATCAGCCATAAAAATCACTTAACCACAGATTTAATTTTATGCGAGTTCCTAAAAAAGGTTTTTTCCCCTAAAGATTTTTGGAATTGCTGGAAAACAGGAAGCAAAAGGCAACTGGGCCTTCAAGGAATGAATTAAAAAAAACAAGAGACTTACAAAAAGGTTTGTCTCTGCTATAATTGAGAGGACTCCCTGCCTCCCTGAAAAATTAGTCGTCATGGAAACTACGCTAGTGAGGTCAGCCAGATTTCACCTTTGCTGCGCCGATTCTCCATCAGGGCCAAGTAGTATAAATGTTATACATTCCACACAGTATTCCACACACGTTGCAGAAAAAAGTTTGACTATCTGAGAGCCTGCATGGTTTGAATTACCATGTTAAAATGGGCATGTTCGATTCCTTGCAGAAAATTAATATTTGTTCCAAGTAATTTATCACTAATACATCTTTTCCTTTATTTTTATTCAGTTTGGGAAAGAAAAATTTTGTTGGTAAAATGACAGGAACGAAGGGGTTGATAGATAGCAGACATGTATTTTTTTCCCCCTGAGGAAAAAGTTAAAATTCAGCACTGCACAGCTGGGCTTACTTTCTTCCATTTCCTCTTTTTGTTTTAAACAACTTAAAAATTAGGTTTATTGACTTGATTGGGAAGTAGTATAAAGGGGAAAAGTTGAATGAACCACAGTTTTAGTTCTCAAAGTTGTGTTCTTTGGGCAACTGACTAACAGGGGAGATGCCATGCAGAGAAAACGCCTTTTCCAAATCCTGCTCCATCAAACTAAGAGAGGATTTATTTTATTTTTACTAATTTTGGTCAATTCAACACCAATGGCCATTTCTAGTCAGGGAAAATTACCATGGGCATTCATACACCTATTAGGAACCAATCTGGTTTACTGCTTAAAACATCAAGCTAGAAATCAAAAGGGTGTGAGTTCTAGTCCTGCCTTTGTCATGAAAGCCAACTGGGTGACCTTGGGCTAGTCATTCTCTCTCAAGCCCATCCCATCCCACAAGGTTGTTGTTGTGGGGAAAATGGGAAGAGACAGGAGTATTAGTGTGATGGCTCCCCAGGATGTTTCCTCAGATACCTCTTCAGATGTCAGCTGTGTGTGTTTGTGGGGTGGGGGGGTGGGGGGGAGGGATGATGAACCAGTTCCTGGCACACTAGGAGGAGAGTTGGTCAATGGCCCTAAGTAACCAACTCTGGCTACAGCAGGACAGCCCTGAGGCGTCAGGTGGGGTAAGCACGCAGCTGCAGCCGGTGAGGCATGATGAGGAAGAGAAACTGCCTTCTGCACTGATCCAAGAACATAGAGGCAGAGAAAAGGCCTGAGGAGAGAAGGTCAGCCAGATTACTTGCGAAGAGGCAGCCCCGTCCTTCTTAATTTTTCAGGGAGGCAGGGAGTCCTCTCAATTATAGCAGAGACAAACCTTTTTGTAAGTCTCTTGTTTGTTTGTTTTTTAATTCTTAGCTTCTGCATCAGAAGCTATTTAGCATAGCAGACAGAAGGCGGGTGATGATGCTGGGAATAATGTGTTCATTTCCTAGCTGTGTGCTTTCTGGTTGTTGTGATTTGGACTGACACTGTGACTTGGTTTGTGCCTCACGAACCCTCTCGTATTGTGGATTTAATTTTGACTGGTGGGTTTATTTTGACTGGGAAACTTTCAAGTGACTTGTGGACTCATTGGCCATTGCTCTGTGGACTAGCATCGATCTATTGGTGGCCGGACTTAATTGGGATATTTCTGTTTTTTTTGCTGAAGGGAACTGCTGGGGCGTATTAATAAACCCACTAAACCACAGTTATGTGCATGTATGAGTGAGTGGCTCAACACAATTACGTACGTTTGCCACCTTGAGTTTTCTTACAATAGAACATAAAGGTGGAATATAAATTAAATAAATATTAAATCTTCCAGTTGGATTACTTTGGTGGCAGGTGTACTGTGATGAATATAAAAAGGGGGTGGGGTTTCCATCATGTGGTCGCAACCTGATCGTTTTGACATCCCTGCTTAGTGCTTATGCCCAACTTACCATCTTTGCAAGTCTTCTTATTCTCAAGGAGTTTCACACCTGTGGGACAGGCACACCGATAAAAGGGCTTGATGGGAGACATCAAACACAGATGGGAACAGCCACCGTTATTATTCCTGCAGGGGTTCGTAGCTGTCAAAAACAGAAAGCACAGAACGGTCTCCCTGTTAGTAGCAAGCCTGCCATATCAAGAGGGGAAAGTGTGAACGATAAAATGAATATGGGTGTTGAACACCCTCCAAACCACATTACCTGCAGTTTCTGAACTGCAGGGGTGGGTATTTATGTACAGTGGATCTCTACATGGCTCCCTATAAATATAGACCGGATCACAGCCATTTCTACTCTTGGAGACCAACTAAGAGAGAAGATGCCTTTAGAAAGAACAGAAAGGGTTCCTTCAGAAAGGACTCAACAGTCAGTAGTGACACACTTGGAAAGAGTGTCTTGTCCATTTGTAGACAGGCCAGAGGTAAACTTTTAAGTTCTTCTTAGTTTTCAAATAAATAGGGAGAACTTATAAGGTCATATTTCTTTATAGGCTTTGTCTAAACCCATTTTTCAGATAATCCTTGACTTATGACCACAACTGGAACCAGGACGTATGTCGCTAAGCAAGATGGTTAAAGAAATCATGCTTAATTTGATCATCTTTTTTTGCCACAGTCATTAAGCAAATCATTGCAGCTGCTGGGTGAATAACACCATTAAGCTAATCTGGCTTTGCCCCATGACTTATCAGAATCCGCCCAGTCGTTCACTAGGAGACGGGCAGCAAACAAATTAAACAAACAAATAAAGTGGCAAATAGTAATTACGTGACCCCAGGACACTACAGCCATCATAAATACATGCCAGTTGCCAAGCACCTGAATTTTGATTGCATGACTGTGGCATTGCTGCAACAGTCATAATTGCAAGGATCCATTGCAAGTCACTTTATTCAGTTATGTTGTAAGTTAGAACTGTCACTAAAAGAACGATTGTAAATCGAGTACTGACTGTACACAATATTTAAGTCTTTCCATGCATCATTTTAAAAGTGATTATACCCAACTCATCTTCCTGCATTCCCTCACTACAAGGTTTTACAGGAAGGGTAAAAAGTGTTCTAACTAAGCTCTTGCTCAACAGAGACTGGGAAGATATATGCAGCACTTCTGAATTTTAATTTTTCCTGTACATCTATCCTTATCCAATAATAGAGAAAAAGACATCCACAGACCTATCTGTGGCTCTGACAAACTCTAATTGAAATATGATAGCAAAATGACTGATATACAGCAGTGAATTTGGGCATTTTTTTCTGTAATTTAAAGATAAAACTGGCAAATTTAAAAATCAATATACTATAGACCAAGGCATTTGATCTTTCTGTCTGACAAACAAAATGAACTACGCTTAGCATACATTAAATTTAGCTATATTTCCTTTGTTCTTTTTCTTTTAAAGTCTGTTTTCTATTCAACTTTTTCAACCACAAAGATATTGCCTAATTCCCATCCACCCCACAAAAATAAGCATAGTGGCTGAGTGCCTACGCTGTATAAACTGTACGCGTGACTGCCTGAAAAACCTACAAAACAAATGAGAATTTCCACATTGGGCATTCTGGGAAAAGCAAGAACAACTCACCACTGGGCTGCCTCTGTTGGCTGAAGACGTGGATATCCATGGGAGAAAAGATGTTGGAATGTATTTCACGCAGGTTCTGTCCAGTGTATTTGTTGCAGGCCAGGATGGAGCGAGTCGTCCAATCCGTCCAATATAGGGTGTCACCAAATAACGTCAGAGCAAATGGATGTGGCAAGGATCCTTTAATCACAGCTTGCCTAGTAATAAATAAAAAGTGTATTGCACCATAAATTATCACCCTGGATCTAGAAAAGGACAGCATTTTACATCCTTCTCTAACCTTCCCTGCCCATCCTCTTAAAATCAAGATGGAACTGAGAAATTTGCAGCCTGTATCTTTTCTCCCTTGAAACAGCTGAGAAGCCTGATTGTCTTCCCTTTAATTCATTTTCAAGCAGAATATTAGCCCCTGAATGAATGCAAAGAGTTAATCTGTGAGTCTGATGGAACATTAAATGTGAAATATTATTTTCCCATTAAATGTGAAAAATTATTTTCAGAATATTAGTGCCTGAATGACCTTAAAGGAGTAAATTCATGAGACTGATGGAACATTTCACCATTTAAGTCTTAAAATTTTGTTTAATGTAATTTGTACAGTAGTGAAGGAGAAACAGATTGGTGTACAAGTAGGCACATAATTCTTCAACGGGACCAGAGAGGGCATCTGTTGGTTTTCAATGCCCCAAGGCTGCAGAACCTAATCAGGACAACAAACATTTTTCCACCACCATATAAATTAATTTCCAAAAGCATCTTGCGTATGCCACAGGATTTCCCAGGATGGGTTTAAAAAACAGATTTCTAGACTGCTCAGAAGCAAGTTCCGTTCAACAGACTGTTTGTATTAGATAAAGCTGTCCTCAACTAACAACCAGAATTTCCATCGCTAAGCAAGAAGGTTGTTAAGTGAGTTGCACTCACTCTTATGACCTTTTTTTGTTAAATGAATAACTGCAGTTGTTAAGTCAGGCTGTCATTAAGCAAGTCCTGTTTACCCCCTTTGCAAGAACAGTCATACTCAATTGTACTAGAAAGAAATCATGCTGTGTGGGATGTTGCGTTTTAAAACGGAAAATAATTTCTAAACAACGTTTAGAAATAATATTCTGATCATGATTATTTAATTAGATTTCAATAAATATTAAAGATTTCACCCAGTCAAACACTTTCTCCTCCCTTCCATGTTAGGAACAGCACAAATTGTACAGATGCTTTTTTGCAAATAAACCTTGCTGGGTTCTGAATTTAAGTCTGTGCAACAATGTGCCTGAAATGACGGTATTAACAACCTCCTTTCAGGCATATTCTAATGCTAAGAACCTATTACATTCTTCTATTTATAAGCCAGCTGTGTTTTAGAACAGAATGGAAGGGGAGGGGAGAGGAGGAGAGGAGGGGAGAGTTGGAAGGGACCTTGGAGATCTTCTAGTCCAACCCACTGCTTGGACAGGAAACGCTATAGCATTTCAGACAAATGGCTGTCCAATCTCTTCTTAAAACTTCCACGGTTAGAGAATTCACAACTTCTAGAGGCAAGTTGTTCCACTGATTAACTGTTCTAACTATCAGGAAATTTCTCCTCAGTTCTAGGTTGCTTTTCTCCTCTCAAACACTAATTGTTCTAATCAGAACTAGTTGAGTGCAAATATTCAGAAAGAGTTTACCAGTAAATGGTGAGTAGCTCCTAAAATTTATTCTGTTCTCCAACGTACAATACAGAGAATGTAAAAACACTCATCGCATTAGAAAGAACGTTTCCCCCTAAGAACTCGACAGGACTTACAGGAACAGGGATTTAAAATTGATCAGTGGTTATATATACAAATCCATAGTAGATACAAACAAGATATCAAAGAGTTTGGAATTTATAGCAAATTACAACACTTAGATAAAATCTTATTAGGATCAAATAAAAAGAATATTTCTAAATTTTATAAATATTTATTGGAGGTAGAATTAGAGCAAGAGATAGTGAAAGGGAACATGATAATGTGGAGTAGGAATATTGGAAGAAGCATTACATTAACAGAATGGGAAAAGATCTGGAATAGAATCATTAAGATTACGAAATCTGCGGCGTACAAAGAAAATATGTATAAAATGTTATATAGTAGTCCTTTTGGAATTCAGTATTGTCAAACAACTATTTGAAAAATGCACTTGTTCTCTCTGAGAAAAAGAAAACCTTGGCAAAGCAAACCCATATCAGAAGTTCATGACTTCTTTTTCAGTCGGTATTCTGATATTTCTCTTCTCTTCTGGGAAATTAGATTGCTGCATATCATTACTGTTGAATTATGACACCATTGCAAAAAATAAATAAGTAGGTCCCATCTTAATGTCTGGATATTGTAAGTTATCTATAGGGAAGAACTATCTCTGACTCAATCCTAGTGGCTATAGATTTACAGCCATCTAGAACCTGGGTTCCATCTTTAGCCTTGGATGGAATAGCAGTAGTAACAGCACTTAAGATTTATATACCACTCCACAGTCCTTTACAACACACTCTGGGCAGTTGACAAATGTCACCAAACTTAACAATCTGGGTCCTCATTTTACCGACCTTGGAAGGATAGAGGGCTAAGGCAACCACAGGACTGAATTCCAGACTGTGGGCAGATTTAGCCATCAGGGTGCACTTCCCCGTTCAAGAATGGTGCTCGATCTGGCTGTATTGCTGAACTTACAGCTCCTGCTTAATGAGCAGGTTGCAACTAGGGCCAGGAAAACCTTTGTAAAAACTTTGTCCGGTGTATCAGTTGCGTCCCTTCCTAAATCAGGAGCCAACAGGCCCTATGTCACTTCAAGACTTGACTTTTGCAATGTGGTCTGTATGGGGGCTTCAACTTTAAGACCATTGAGAAATTTCCGCTGGTCCAAAATGAAGCGGTGTGGCAGTAATTGGTGAGCCTTGGTATGTTGATGTACTATCTCTGCTTCCTAAGTTGAACTGGTTATTAATATGCTTCTGGATGCTTTTCAAGATGCTATCAATGACCTATGGAGTTCTAGATTGCCCTGTGGCCTGGTTACTTGAGGGACCACCTATCGCCTGAGGTTTCAGCCAAGCCAGTTTGATCCAAGAGAGTTGGGTCACTCCTGATCCATTCAATAAAGCAATGTCTCCTAATGGGAGCCCAGAAACATGTCTTCTCTGTCATGTTGGCCCGCCCTCTGGAATGAGATTCCCCCCATTTGCCTACTGCCCTCCTGCCAGTCTAGAAAGCCATAAAGACCTGGCTGCTCTCCCAGGCCTTGGGGTTGAGTAAATTAAATTAAATAAATCCATGCATTCATGCACACAGCCTGAACTTTTAAGTCATTTTACAATTTTCCATAAAGCCAGGAAATGAAAAGAAACATTAAAAGAGAATACTATTTCGCTGAAACAATGAAATACAAACAAGTATTTCAGGGAAGACCTCACAAAATCTGTCACAATTGCCCAATCAGTCATATCCTATGCAGAAATTGAGTTATAAGTAAAATATGGCAGCCTACATTTTGGAATTACAAAGCTAATAAAAAATCTGGGATTTATTTGCAAACAATATTTCAGGAACAAAGAAATCCTTTCTTCCTTTGTTTCTCAGTCCTCTCAAGTCTCCTTTCCTTCTTCCTCAAACTGTTCCTTAAAATTCTGCAATTTGTACATCAATGTTTCTATCACACTGCCTCTAGTGCAGCGGTCGCCAACTGGTGGGCCGTGAGAAAATTTTGGTAGGCTGCAGAGAAATCTCACCCCCAGAGCAACCCCCCCCCCAGCAATTAATCCAGGCTGCGCAGAAACACAAGGCTGCACCGCCCACATGGCCCACGGGAACCCTCCCCGCCCACTCACTCCTTACCCGGCAAACTTGCCTGCTAAATTGCTAAATTTTTCTTTTTTCCAACCATCATCTGTTCTGTTGTGCCTTAGATTAGATAGGAAACAGGAAATGATTGGTTTCTTGCTTTCTTGCTTTCTAGCTAGTCTTTAGATCTTCGGCTCTGTTTTTAAGCACAGCCGAACCTCCCTTAGGACTGAAGGTTCTATTATTCAATGCAGACTCATGGCAAGCAAATTTTATGTGACAGACTGAGCTAGCCGATGGCAGATAGATAGAACTCTGAATGAATCTGTGATTCTGTGAGAAACTCAATCTGCCTGCCTGCTTTGCCTGATTTTGGGTAAAAGTTGCTCTTTTTTTAATAAAAATTCAATATTTATATAAATATTCATAATATTTACATAAAAGCCATGCCCAGCCAGTCACATGACCACCAAGCCACACCCACAAATTCAGGACATGCCCACAGCATCGGTTAGTGGTCCCTGGGATTTAAAATTATAAGTTTGGTGGTCCCTGAGGTCCAAAAGGTTGGCGACCCCTGCTCTAGTGTGTGGCAATATCTAGATGGCCTTAGTTAAGTAGCACCCTGCTTAGTCATTGTTCAGAACTTGGATCCAGACCTGAAGAGACATTGCCACAAATATACAGGAACTGTTACCCAAAAGAGCTGGAGCATTTTTTAAAGTCCAGAGACTCAAGATAATATTCAGAAATGGCTCAGGAAATGCCTTCCAAATTAACTGGAGAAGGTGCATTGCGAAATTCTCTTACTATAGCCAAATGAAATAGTTTTGGTCCTCTTGTGCTGCTGACTTCCTGGTCTGGTTTACTTAGAAAGGATTCCTTTGAGGATTGTAGGATTATTAGGTAGACTGGGAACTCAAAAACAACATTCTGAAAGAAGACAACACTAATTCATTCATGTTAACTGAATTGCATGTAATTGCTCTAAGACAGGGTATCAAACTCAAGGTCCATGGCCCAGCCCGGTCCATGGGGCCACCCTGGAAACAGTGAAGGATCAGCCCTTGGTGCCTCTGCCAGTAAAAACGGAGCTCAGGACCCTGTTTTTGCTGTCAGAACGCTTGGGCTACCACATGCACCCCCAACACAAGTGACGTCGAGCTGGCCATGCCCACCCCCAGCCCCCCGAAGTCCAAACACAACCCTGATGTAGCCCTCAATGAAATCGAGTTTCACACCCCTGCTCTAGGAAGAACCCAGCAGCAACTAACTGGTGGTATATGACTTAGAAAACTAGGAATACCCTAATCCAGGGGTCCTCAACCCTTGTTCGTGGACCAGCATGGTCCGTGGCACGTAAGAAACCAGGCCGTGCAAACAAGGGAAGCCTCATC